TTTGACTTCCCCCTTTTTCGTGGGAAAAATCTGGAGCTTTAGGGAAATCAAAATCCTCACTGAAAAATAATGCCACGAAGTTATGTCAGAAGTGGATGTGAGTGAGTGGAGATTGGTGTTTCAGGAGCCTTGTTTCTAATAAATCAGGAAGCGTCTCCCATTTTCCTTGGGCCACATCTGGCTGTTATCTTGTGTGTGTGTGTGTGTGTGTGTGTGTCAAATAAGACCTTGTTTCCTCGTGCCAGTAAGTGTAGGAGGTGGGTCATGGCGCTGATTCTGCAGTCTTTCAAGCAATCGACACCTTCCCTTATTAGTAGTTCAGTCCCATCTGAAAAGCAGGATTCTCCCAAGTCACAACTTACACGGTATGAGATAAATCTGTGAATAAGTTTGTTTTCTCAGTCCAGATATAATAATAATAATAATAATAATAATAATAATAATAATAATAGTAGTAGTAGTAGTAGTAGTAGTAGTAGTAGCAGCAGCAGCAGCAGCAGCAGCAGCAGCAGCAGCAGCAGCAGTAGTAGTAATAAAGTTGGAAGGGACCTTGGAGGTCATCTAGTCCAACCCCCTGCTCAGGCAGGAAACCCTATACCATTTCAGACAAATGGCTGTCCAGTCTCTTCTCAAAAACTTCCAGTGTTGGAGCTTTCACCGCTTCTGGAGGCAGGTTGTTCCACTGGTTAATTGTTCTCACTGTCAGGAAGTTTTTCCTTAGTTCCAGGTTGCTTCTCTCCTTGATTAGTTTCCACCCGTTGCTTCTTGTCCTGCCTTCAGGCGCTTTGGAGAACAGCTTGACTCCCTCTTCTTTGTGGCAGCCCCTGAGATACTGGAACACTGCTATCATGTCCCCCCTTGTCCTTCTCTTCATTAAACTAGACATAACCCAATTCCAGCAACCGTTCCTTCTATGTTTTAGCCTCCAGTCCCCTGATCATCTTTGTTGCTCTTCTCTGTACTCTTTCTAGAGTCTCAACATCTTTTTTACATCGCGGTGACCAAAACTGGATGCAGTATTCCAAGTGTGGCCTTACCAAGGCATTGTTAAGTGGTATTAACACTTCACGTGATCTTGATGAATTGGTTCTTTAAAATTGCCCACTTGGTACCACAGGAGGAAATTTAGAGTAGCTGCTGTTTAAAAATGTATGTGTTTTACGAAGAGTTAGCAAACTGTATTGTATTTTGGAGTCTGGTTTCTCCTCCTACCCCCCGCCCCTTCAACCAGAGCATTAAAAAGCCATATAGCTCTGCCAATGGTCTGAAGATTGCAGCTCTATGCCCTATTGTTATTTCATTGGTAGCATTTCAAAATATTTTTCATTTATTTATTGTGGGCTTCTTTGGGTTGTAACAAGATGAATAATTTTTTCTTCAACTAAATAACTTTTTTTTTTAAACTAAACCAGGGGTGTCCAGCCTTATCAGCCTTCAAGACTTGTGGACTTCAGCTCCCGTGCTGGCTGGGGAATTCTGGGAGCTGAAGTCCACAAGTCTTAAAGTTGCCAAGGCTGGACACCTTTGAACTAAACTAAGCAGAAGGGAAGAAGAATGCATGTCTGTATTTAGCTCCCCTTAAATGTAGAAATTCCAAAACAAAAAATCATAATTATTTGTTCTTATTTGTACCTTTATAGGTGTAAACAACGCAAATTGTCAGATAAGTCTAGGAAATTCCTCTCTAGCCAAAACGTTTGCTAGATTACATTCTAATAAATGGATACCTCACAGTTGCTCAGTCTGTCTATCCCTCCCAATTTGGGGGTGGTGTGTGTGTGTGTGTGTGTGTGTCAAGAATCTCTAGGACTTCTTGGAAGGTAAGCAAGATGCCCCTATAAAGAATAAACAAAGGAAATGTGTTGGGGTTTTTTGATGTAATATTTTAGCCTGATTTTTTTTTTTACAAGGATAGGGTTGGCTACTTTTTCCAGCTTACTTCCTGGTAAGATAGAAAAATGTGAGACAGACACCGTCACCACCAGATGAATTCATAACTGACTGACCAACTGCACTCAACATACAGTCCTCAATGGAAGGACATCTACATGAAGCATGCAATGGGACACCCTAAGGTTCTGTCTTAGGTCCAGTACACTTAGGCATCTTCATAATTAATTTAGGCTAGGACAGAGAAGGGGAACTCATCAGATTTGTAGGTGGGGAGAATTGCCAACACTTTAGAAGATAGACTCTTGGCAGACTTGAGCATTGGCCCTATCCAACAAGATACGGTTCAGTGGTGAGAAAACCACCTAAACAGGAAAAATCAAATGTGCATGTATAGAATAGCATTACCCTAGTTCAACAGTAGTAATTGTGAGAGAGATCTAGGTGTCTGAGTGGACCACCACTTAAGTATGAACCAGCAATGTGCTGCAGCTGCCCAAAAAAACCCCCAATGCAGCCCAAAGATGCATCAACAGAGATAGCATCAAGATCATGAGAAGTGATAGTACCACTTTATACTGTACTAGTGAGGTCACACTTGGAATACTCTGTCCAGAACTGGTCATCGTGATACAAAAAAAAGATAAATAAATGCTGAGGCCCTAGAAAGAATGCAAAGAAGAGCAAAAAGGAACTTATCTGGAGGCTAAACCGTATGATGAATGGTTAAGGGAACTAAGCAGGGCTTTTTTTGTTATAGAACGCCCAGAACGGATGGAACCTTTTTGGATGGAACCTTGTAGGGTAGGCAAGGCGGGTTGTATGGCATGTGTGAGTTCCGGCACCTTTTGTTTTTCCAAAAAAAGCACTGGAACTAAGTATGTCTAGCCTATCAAAGAGAAGGATTGGGGCGATATGATAGCTGTCTTCCAGTACCCAAGAGACTGTCACAAGAGAAGAAGGGGTTGACCTGTTGTCCAAAACACTTAAGTGTAGGACAAGAAGTAACAGGAAGAAGATCATTAAAGCGATCCAACCTAGAAGTAGGGAGAAATTTCCTGACAGGGAGAACAATCCATCAGTGGAGTAGCTTGCCTCCAGAGATTGTGGGTGCTCCATCGCTGGAGGTCTTTAAGAAGAGACTGGATAGCCACTTGTCTGGAATGGTATAGGGCAGGGGTAGGCAACCTTGGCTCTTTTATGACTCGTGGACTTCAACTCCCAGAATTCCTGAGCCAGCATGGCTCAGCTTGGAAACCTCTCCCTTTCCCCTCAGCGTGGCTGGCTCGGGAATTCTGGGAGTTGAAGTCCACGAGTCATAAAAGAGCCAAGGTTGCCTACCCCTGGTATAGGGTCTCCTGTTCGAGCAGGGGATTGGAAGACCCCCAAGGTCCCTTGTGACCCTGTTATTTTAATATTCTGTGTTCCAGTGGTCCAATGTAGTCTAATTTAACCTCCCCAAGATTCAACAGTAATGACCGAAGAAGACCACATAAAAGCTGTTCCTGCTAAATATATTTTTAAAAGTACATAAAGAAGACTGAAACACGAAATTTCTTTGAGCTGAGCTAGATGGATTCCCATCTCACAATACACTCTGGACTCTAATGCAATCACCTGTTTTGATCCGGCCATCTCTGCTGATGACGCCACCCAGTTCCACACTTAAGACATAAATAGGTAGATTCCATTCCCTGTGCGAAGATAAACAACCTCCTGCCACCGTCATTCCCAGGGACTCTGCATTATCTTTTCGGACAATCACCACTTTTTCATGACAGGTAACGGCATGAAGGACGCTCTGCAAAGGACAAAAAAGCCAACATAAATTCAGTCGCTGGGCAAAGGACTTGTCTCGGGTTAATTAGGGCCAGTTTATCATTCATTCATTCGTTGTTCCATTGTACACCTTCTTAACTGACTTTCCTTCACTATCCCTGTTGTATAGTTGTGGAAAAGATGATGACAGAGTTTCACAACACATAATACAGAAACAGAAATTATGAAACGGAACTTTGGAACCCTATACCAAAAATACTCTCTCTCACACTGGGTCATAGAACATGTTGATTAATCCAGTGTGATTTTTTTTTTATTAAAGATGATTTGCAGTAAAATAATGGCTAAGACTAAGGCTGACAAATACGGTGGCTTGACATAATTGTTTTACAGTCATTTAGTAATGCATATGTGAAGAGCATATGAAGAATATTTCTTTTGAATGAGTAGCACATGGGGAGATATCTCTCTCTCTTTCTCTGTCTCTCTCTTTCTCTCTGTCTCTGTTTTACTCTGTCTGTCTCTCTTTCTCTGTCTCTGTCTCTCTTTCTCTGTCTCTCTGGCTCTCTCTGTGTGTATGTGTATGCATGTGTATGTGTTGATAAAATCAATAGACCCCTTCAGAAAGTTTCATGAAGCTAGGATCTCTGTAATTGCCAAAATATATCGGATATCTTTCTAAAGATTCCAAATACCCTTTTGCAGGGGTAAAATTACAAAAAAATCTAGAGTTTCAGAAATGTAGCTTTTGCCCATGAAAAGCCCGAATCCTCTTGGATTCTTTTGTTGTTGTTAGTTGCGAAGTCGTGTCCGACCCATCGCGACCCCATGGACAACATTCCTCCAGGCCTTCATGTCCTCTATCATCTTCTGGAGTCCATTTAAGCTCAGTGACTCCATCCAGCCACCTCATTCTCTGTCGTCCCCTTCTTCTCTTGCCCTCCATCTTTCCCAGCATCAGGCTCTTCTCCAGTGAGTCCTTCCTTCTCATTAGGTGGCCAAAGTACTTGAGTTTCAACTTCAGGATCTGGCCTTCTAAAGAGCAGTTGGGGTTGATCTCCTCTAAGACTGACTGATTTGATCGCCTTGCAGTCCAGGGGACTCGCAGGAGTCTTCTCCAGCACCAGAGTTCAAAGGCCTCAATTCTTTGGCGCTCAGCCTTTCTTATGGTCCAACTTTCACAGCCATACATTGCAACTGGGAAAACCATGGCCCTGACTATACGCACTTTTGTTGGCAGGGTGCTTATATAACCCAAATCCTTGCGGAACAGGAGTGTCTGCAAGATGTGGTCAAAAAAGTCAAGATGGCGATTGCATCAGGGCAATCACAGCCATACCTGTTCTGTGCAAATTACACATAAAACCCCTCCAGAGCTTCGATTACATTATGGTGACTGACCCTCCTGGCATTTTTCACCACACCCTGCAGATACTCCTTGTTGGGGAAGCATTCTGTGTCCTTTTTATAAGTCAGGAAACCATCTCTTCACCTCCTTAGCAATAAAATAATCCAGCTGACTTCATTTCTATTTTTGTGATTTTCCTCGCTGGCAAGCGTGGCTGGTTTGAAAGGAAATGTCTTTTTTGCAAATCAGCGAACTTTCGACTTTGAACCTAAGCTTGCAAATTCTATTTCCTCTGTCTCACCAAAATAGGCGATTCTTAAAAACTCTTCCACAAAAAAGATGTGGTTGATCTATTCAACACCGAATTGCTGTCACCAACATCGTTTGTTAGGAGAAGGAAGAAATAAGTGATTTCTCCTTAGGTCATGAGTAAAAACCTTTTATAAGTTTCTCTTAAAAGCTATGTCAAAACAACTTCTCATTTAGGTTGCAATCTTAAAGGCTCAAAAGGGATGCTGGTGAATGGGTTTCCTTGTTTCCTTTTAGATGTAAAATAACTTTTATTTTAGTTATAGTGGGGGAAAGTGGAAGAAATTGAAATTTATTCTGTACTTAATCTTATTACTGATAACCAAGGCCATTTGGAATACTGCATCCAGTTTTGGTCACCACGATATAAAAAAGATGTTGAGACTCTAGAAAGAGTAGAGAGAAGAGCAACAAAGATGATTAGGGGACTGGAAGCTAAAGCATATAAGGAAAGGCTGCTGGAATTGGGCATGTCTAGTTTAATGAAGAGAAGGATGAGGGGGGACATGATAGCTGTGTTCCAGTATCTCAGAGGCTGCCCCAAAGAAGAGAGAGTCAAGCTATTCTCCAAAGCGCCTGAAGGCAGGACAAGAAGCAATGGATGGAAACTAATCAAGGAGAGAAGCAATCTACAACTAAGGAGAAATTTCCTGACAGTTAGAACAATTAACCAGTGGAACAACCTGCCTCCAGAAGTGGTGAATGCTCCAACACTGGAGGTTTTTAAGAAGAGACTGGACAGCCATTTGTCTGAAATGGTATAGGGTTTCCTGCCTGAGCAGGGGGTTGGACTAGATGACCTCCAAGGTCCCTTCCAACTTTATTATTATTATTATTATTATTATT